TCCAAGAAACCACTTCAAATTAATATCAATTTTAAAAGCCATTTAATCGAGAAGGCACTTTTAAAGGTGAAACAACCAGAACTCTGAAACAGAGTATACATTTTTTAAGACACCACGAAATCTGCAGAGTTTGGGAAGTTGTCTTGTCTCATAACCCTTCCCAACACCTGAGAGCCTTTTTGGTGAAAGGAAAAATAGAGTAACCTTACAGAAAAATTAACTTTCTGAGAGACGTAAAAATTTACCTCTGTTAATTGTGCAATCAATTTTAACAACATACCATCCAACGTTGTAAGCAACAATTTGATTGGTTCTTTAATAAACACCCTCAATGTGATTAGTGTTTGATCGTCCTGGAAACATTCCCGCTTCCTCCCAAACAACGTTGATTTTCCTATTTCTAAGACTACGCAGATCACAGTACCCACACAACATTGAACTAGGGGGCAGGGGTACCAGAGAGTTATCGCTAGATATAAATTAAATAAAATTGAAATAAAAAAACTAGAAATTTAAAAGCACTTGTATCTCGTGACATTTTCTCTGCACCCCCTACCCAGGCAAGAACCTCAATATGGTCTTGCATACTTCCAAATGGAATAATAACGATGCAAAATTCCATCACCATGTCTAATTTCCACGAGAGACATTGTGTCAATTTTTTACTGACAACAACAATTGTTTCAAATACAGTCGAAGGTCCACCTTGGACATTCCAAAAAGTGGTCACATATAAGAATGGGTTCTCATTGTTTCAGTTCAGTATGTGATGTTTTGCAACTGTTTAAAATTGAGACATTTGTGGTTGCATTTTAATGTTCTCTTAATTAATTGATTTTTAAACAGCACAGCTCTCATTAATAAATGTCTGGTGCAAGTTTATCTTTTCAATGCAATAACTACAGGGAACATACAATCTAGTTCAGTAGGATGAGAATAAGATAGCCTAATATGACCCTAAGGTGGAGCATTTCAATGCCAATTTTGGTTCCACCTATACCATAAGTGCCACTTGTAAATGTGCATCAGCATGCTGACTTCCCTCCCCTTTCACTGAGATCCTTAAACAGGCCAATTTTGCATCCTAGATGGTTTTAGAATTCAAAATGTCCCATGCACCAGAGGTTGTGCAAGGAGCCATCTTGGTAAGTTTCCAATTGGGCGGCCTTCAAGTCTGATCTAATTGATTAGTGGTTCAACTTGCCGCCATGGAGTCTTTCCATACTAAAATTTAAAATCTTTAGTTAACAAAACTCTGGCAATGACAAATGTTTTAAAATTCCCTTTATTGGAGTACTTATAATTTGCAACAAATTATATATCAAAATGCCCCTAGAAACACAAATAACAAGAAGAATCACTGATTCATTGGTTCTATTGCAACCACTCATCCCAGCCCATAAAACAAGTGTAAGTGACCATTTGTAAGCTTACCTAAAAATAAAATGAGCTCATTACATTACTTGCAACAAAAACAAGTTTTAAAACTCAGGTCATTAGACTTAAAAAAAGTTCAAAACAAAACAAATATCGGATCATACTTTCAGTTCCCTTGATCGTAACCCAGCATGTAACAATGCTCAATGACTCAGTGAGAATGCGGAGAAACCTTTGATTTGTCAGTATCCTCATATATGGACTCTTGGAAGCACCACTTCACCAAAACGAGCCAGCATTGATTAGTTCCACCTCAAGGTAACATGACCTTGTTCCGTAAGTAACGGTGAATTTTGTATTTAGATGTTTAATTGTTAAGTAGTTATCTAATGTCCACAGTGATGGGAAACCCTTGTGAATTATAGATAAATAAACAAATAAATAAATAAATAAATATAACGTAATGTTTTGCTGGTTTCAGTGATTTCTGTTGGTATTTCCACAGTACTCAAAGTAGAAATCCTCATTTGAAAATACCTTTTCTCTTTTTTCTTTTACAAAAAATAATTCAAAAATTAAGTTATCTAAAATATTCATTACCCTTTGTTGGTACCTCCAATGGCTTCCCCTTTCTTCCATCCCATTCCACGCAACATGGCTGCTCCAAATGATGACACAGGCATCTCCTCATAGTCATCCATTGTGCTCTAAACAAAGTATTGACTTGTGAACATTAAGACCAATTCAGGGATCAAAGTGTTGAGTGTTATGATTATTTAATCCTGAGCTTGGTTGCTCAAAGCATGATTAAAATACCCCACAATATACAAAACATTCAATTTAAGTTCTTTTTTCAAGTCAAACTATGCAAAATGTCAGCGATAAGTAATGTCTTCATACAAGAGAAATGACTACCTTTTAATCCAAGCTAAGTGCTAATTAGCTTTCCCACAACCTATTCCTGAATAAGACAACTTTTTACGCAGGGCTATCATAAATAGTTGCTGTCAGTATCTATTGGAGGGCCATTATGAATGGTACCAACTTCCTGGACACGATGACAAGCTTACAACAAGAGTACAATACAGATTGTTTCAAGTAAATACAACTGTAGGATCTATTTTGGATCAGGGCAGGAAAGAAAATTGGAAATCCACTTGCCCAGCGGGCCAGTACATTTCAGTTTTTAGTTGCCAACACTAAAATATTACTTGCCCAATAGGAGTGCAATGTTCATACCT